GAAGACAGACCTCCCCTTCTCCCAGCAGTGAGCCATTAGATCATCTCAGCTGCTGCTGGCATGACGGGCTACACGTGATAAGAACAGGCTTTGCTGTTGCCCTGTTAATGCCCTGAGCTCCACAAGTGATCCTTGGAGCCAGAGCTGGTGAGTAGCATTGACAGAGAAACGCTGCTTGCCTGGGTTCTCATCCAGCCTGGATATACTGACATTATTATTTTTTTCCCAGGGTCATCAGATTCTTGTAAGAGAATAATAAAGTGGCTGAGATGGAAGAGGAGTCAGAACTCTCTGTGCCTTTTTTTTCTTTTTTTTGCTACCCATTATGTGACCCTGAACAAATAATTATGAAATTCCATGGATACGTGAGGTAGTCCTGTTCTCCTTGTGGTTCCACGAACAGGCCAGACATTATGTTAACAATGGTGCACTTCTCTCCCTTATTGATTTATTACTTCTTCTTACCTGCCCCCACCTCTGCAGTAGTTTTTTTTAATGATACCAGAATATTTAGACAAACAGTGATGAGCTTTGTCACTTCAGTTTCTCAGGCCTGGAAGCAGAGAGTGGTGTCTGGATCAGACATGTGAAGTGTCACATGCAGTGTTTGGCTGCTCTGTCCTGCTCTCGTGGTGGGCACATCTGTGTAGCTGCAGGGAGCTGAATTGGAGGAACTTGCCCAGATGTTGAACTCACTTCTGGTTTTGGGCAGCTTCACCTTGGTTCAGTTCTCTGCCCCTCACCATGAGACTGCACAGAACACGCTGTGTGGGATGGGAACAAGTGTTTGGATGCTGAAGGTGGTGAAAGGTTGGCATCTTAGTGGTGAGGGAACTAAACCATGAAGGGACCAGACAGTTTCAGTCCTTTAAACCTCTGAAGACTTGGTAGACTGTGGAGTTCTGGGATCATCTGATGAAAAGGCAAAGTATTAATAAGGTTGATGATGAAAATCCTTTCTTCTGTTGTAGCAGTCTGACTTGTTTATGGCCTGTGGTAAATCTGGAGGGGTTCCCAGAAAGCCCTTGAATGGGAGCACTGGATACATTACACAACTGCAAATAGTTCTTCCAAGTGATGAAAACTGAGTGCTTTTCTTGAGTGAGAAAGAAGACCCCTGGCTTTTGAGAGGAGCTGGGCATTGCTGAGCAGGGATGGTCTGGCTGCACTGTGCAATCCCAGGAAGCTGCTTTCGTGGCTCTGCAGGCCCGAGGGATGGAACCTGCTCTTCACATCTCTCCTAAAGCTTTCCTGCTCAGCCTTCCTGTGTATCTTTGGGAGAGCTGGCTGCTTGCAACCTGTGATATCTTTACCTCCAGCAGTGTTTTTAAAATACAAGCTGCTACTTGGGACTTCTTCTGAGGGAAAACTGGTGGATCTCTTCTCCTGGTTTGTAGTAACTTACCTTCAGGGTAGAAGGGAGCACTAATTTCTTTCATGCGGGTCAGTGCAGAGTTGCTACAGAGCAGTTGCTTTTACTCAAATGCAACTTAGACTGGCAATTAAAGCAAATGATAACAAGGCCTGCTGTGTAATTTCACTGCTCCATTAACTGTCTTGGGAATTGCAAAGGACTGGGACAAGTGTAATCAGAGTAACTCGTGTTTCAAACCCCCCAGAAGGAGCTGTTGAACCTGCTCTACTGCTCTGCTAAGCACTGATCCAGATCTGCCCGTTCAGGCTTCATGTGCTGAATTCAGAGCTGCTGAAAAGTTAAATACCCCTTTTAATGGTACAGTTCTGCTTGTCAGAGCTTACCTGCATCAGTGCTCTCCTGAAAAATAACTTTTCTTGAGCAGGATATCTCAATTAGATGCCTGGTGTAGTGTCTGAGATCTTCAGCCCTGTGTTGCTGGTAGACTGTCAACTGTTTGAGGACACAGCAGTGAAAATCATCTCTACTCATCTGCACACTTTGCTTGTTTTCTCTATGAAAGCAGATCCTGCACTATCAGCTTGCAAACACACTGGCCTTGTTGAAGTTCTGTGACTCATGAGGCTGCCAAAGCACTTGGAGTGCTTCTTAGCACTTGTACTTTGGTTTTTAAGCTGGGCTTTTTGAAATGGCTGTTTGGCTGCCGAGCATCTCCTCTGTGGGGGGGACCTTCTGTGAGATGAACATTTCTTGATGCTTTTATAGGAAGAGCAAAAGAGCTGCAACTTGTCTGGAAGGAGAAGCAGTTCACCTGAAGAGGGAAATGAAAGAACTCTGGATTATTTGCAGCTACTTTATTCAGTGCAGAGGGTGAGGCAGCAGTGGGGGCTGGCAGCATTTGGCTTGTGCCACTGATAGCTGAGCTCTGCAACACAGTGGGGTTTTTGTTTGGTGTGTTCCAGCATCTCCAGCAAAAAAAGATATGAGATAGGAGACACATAGGAGGTTACGCTTGATAGAGGTTTACAAATTCCCTCAAAATTCTATTTACGGCTTGTCCCAGAAGAGCTGCAAGCCCGTTGAGGAATTCTAGAGCCTATTTGAGTTGTCTTCATAGCTGCTGGTCTCCTGGCTGAAGCTAATTAGCTGTGGTCAGGAGGTTAATTAGCTGCTGCCTCTGGAGAGTTCTGAGGAAGTCTGGATAATGCAATATAATATCAGTGACAATGTGGTGGGCAAACTGAAAGGTTTATTTTCAGGATCCAAGTCCCTCTGTCCTCATGAGCTCACACTGAAGCATGTGGATGATAAAATTGTCCATGTAATTGGAATTTTGTTCCCCACCAGGCAGACTGAAGGGACAAGAGGGAGGAGGAGGAGAGCGCTGGCTAATCTAGGGATTCAAAAAGGCATCACCTGGTGCACGTTGAGTCCTGAGCTGTGTTATGATCTCACAGCCCCACATTTGGTGGTTCTGTTCCATCTGGTTTGGGGGAAGTGAGGCTTTAGGATAAACTCCAGACTTGGAAGGGTGCAAAGAAGCCACAAACCGTGGAGATAAGGACTGCAGAGTTGCAGGTGTAGGTTAGGACAGCTTTGTTCAAACCTCACTGTATGCAGGGAGTGATGAGGAACTTGCTTGGCTTTGCCTGAGGGCTGAGCAGCGTAACACACCTCTTAAAGCAGGCTCACAATTACTGGGCAACCCCAAAGAGACCTGGAGAAAGTTGCCTTCTTTTTTAGGTGCAATGTGGGCTCTTTGGTTGTGAAGGATTTAAAGCTAATCCTATCAATAATGATGGGGGAGTTGATTGGTTTGTGCGCTCCTGAAGTTAATTAAAGGAGAGATGGCACATACAATTCTGGAATCATTTTCACAGGGAGTGCTGTGCATGTTCAAAGCCTTTTCTTAAGGAGTGTTTCGGTTGCTCATGAAAACAGCTGGAGAAACTGCCCAGTTTAGATGAAAAAAGTAATGTTTAAGGTCCATGTGGCTTCTTTTAAGCGAGGCCTAATCTTTCTGTTGACATTCTTGATACCAGTCTCTAAGAAAATAAGACCATGTAGTCCCACAGTTAAGCAGCTTAGAAGGTTTTTTGTTGGTTGTTTGTTGTTTTTGGTTGTTTTTTTTTTTTTTAATTTTGTAATTTGTCTGTATACTAGAGGTGCCTGGGTATCTCAGGCTCTGTTTTTAGTATAACTCATAAACAGATCTTTGCAGGAATGAATCCACCAGTGACTTTTAGTCTGTCACGTGAACAGAAATTTAATAGCACTCATATTTTCAGGAAGGAAAACTAATTAATGGTATTAAGTGATCTAAAGTGTTCATACTGTGATTCCAAAACAGATTATGGCCTTTCAGCTCTTGTTAAAAGCCTTTTAGGACAAGCTGCAAACAGGAACGTTGTCTTTTGGTTTCAGAAGCATTTAAAATCTGCTTTTGGTCAACCCACTTTTAAGGTGGATTCAGATTTACAAATGAATAAGCTTTTGTGAAAGAAAGAGTGTGGTCTAAGGTGAACTCAGAGGTTCAAGGATGCACTAAACCAGTTGTTTGAGGCTTGTAGGTGGTTTGTGGTGATGCAGAAAGGATGAAGAGTCAGCATCCCTGTGGCAGGTGGGTGAGAGACTGGCTGGGAAAATGTGACTCTGAAGGATTTGGGAACAACTTTCTATATCTGAGGGAGCAGCTTGCTGAGTGCTGCATTCATGGGAGGTGGTTAAATTAGGAACCACAGCTGGGCAATGGTTGAAGAGTGACAGTCCTACAGGATTGCTTTGTTAACTATAGTTAAATTTAACAAGAAGTTAATAATGTAAAATGTTTGTCCAAGGTTAAGGGTGTGGTGTGCTTTGAAGCTGAGGACTTTAGCCACAGCTATTACAGCTGCTTGGCCCTTCAATCTGATTATTTTCATTCAAGATACAATATTGTAGCAAAGAAACTTAATGTTGGAGTTGGATGAAATCACTCAAACTAAAGACTTTAGTGATATATTTTAGTGTATTTAGTCCAAGAGAAAAGGACTCTCATCCAAGCAAATGGTAGCTGACAGACATCTCCGAGTTCCCTGTCCCTTAGTTTTCCTTGGAAATCTCGGTATACCCTTGTGATGCACTTCAGTGTGAGGTTCCAGGATTACTGTGAAATCAGGAAGCTTTGTCCAGCCAGTTCCATACTGCTCTGGGTGAGGGGGTGGTTTATGTTGGAGCGCTTTGTCCAATAATTCTTGTTGAAAATAGCTGAGGCTGGGAAATGTTTCCAGCAGGATGATGGGGAACATCTGGGTGATGCTGCTGCTGTGCATTGGTGCTGAAAGTGTCACAGATTTGACCCTGCTTGAATAGTTGGTTTAGACATGTGGAATAAAAATGATGTAAAGGACACGAGTGAGAAGAGCTTGTCTTGAGTATCAGTGTTGCTTAATCCCAGCTCGTAGGTGCTCACTGCTTGGCTGAATCCTTGCTGTTTACACTCACCAGGAGCATTTGGTGGGCTCTCTTGTGACAACAGTGCTTTGGGAGCCGTTAAAATGCTTTGATACAAAGCAGTGAAGGGGTTCAGTTTCCATCTAAGAAGTTCTTTGCCTATTTAGGGATTTTCTTTTCCCCTCGTTTTCAGCGCCGGCTGCGTCACCTGCGGAACATCGCTGCCCGCAACATCATCAACAGGAACGGCTACCGCCTGCTGGACACCTACTTCACCCTGCACCTCTGTGATAACACCAAGATATACAAAGGTAACCCAGGCTTCCCTCAGCCTCTCTGCTATCAGCTTATGGGGGGAATTCTCTGGCTTTTTTCCCACCTTGCCAACCTGCTGCCGTTATTTACATCACCTCGTAACACTCAGGAAGAGCTCTTCAGTTCCCTCAACTTCACAGAAGCTCTCAGTGTGAGCAGCCCAGCAAGCAGAACAAATGACAGGTTTGGCAGAGCCTCTGGAACCAGCCTGGTTTTTGTCATTGCTCTCCCCCCCACTGATAATTTAAGAAATTGGGAGCTTCCAAGGGCACAGAGAAGTTAAAGCTTTGGGAGCCGTGGTTGCCTCTTGTGGGTGTTCCACTTGTGCACGGCAGTTGTTTTACAGAGCATACACCAGCCCTTGATATTATCCAAGTTTTCCAGGAACAGCATAGTCAGACAGTGACATGGGGCATCCTGGCATCTCTTGTGCTTTGGGTAGCTGTGTGTGAGTGTCACATCTCGTGTCTCTTCATGCTTTGCTTCCCACTGCAATGTGTAGTTCTTCTTTGTGCAGAGATGTTGGTAGAAACGCATTTCTGTGCTCCTTTTCATGTGATCAGTAGTAGTTGGAGGTGGATTCTGGTTTTCTCCTAGTTTTTATCTTCAGCTGGCATAGTTGAACCTTGCTTTTTTCCCAAAGTTGCTGTTTTAGAGGGATAAGAACACAGAACTTGAGCTTCCTCCCTGGACTTGTGGTGGTTGGTTGAACCTGTGACTAATGAATGTTTGTAGGGGCTGTTCTGCACTCCATGAAATCTTTATCCTTGGCCTCCAGTGGGCTGGAATGTTGTACAAAATCTGTATTCCAGCCTCTAGAGCTGTCTGCCTAAAGACTTTAAGCTCTCACTTTGGCTGGGAAAGCCAAGGTCCATGTGTCAGCAGTTGCTTATTCCCATTTAAATCCAGGGTTGTTGGCACCTGTGTCAGATAACTTGGCTGTTCCCTCTCCAAGCTTCTGGAACTCTCTCTTCAGGGAAAGCTCTGCAGTTATTTTATCTGAGCTGAGCTGCCCCAGGAGGATGCTGTGTGACAAACCAGTCACTTTGCAAATGTCATCCAAATATTGTTAAGTACTGGGCTATGTTCCTTCCCCAGAAAGCAAAGCAGATCTTGAGAATTATCATGGGTATGAAGATGAAATGCTAAATTTAAATAATGACTTGTAATAAATTACTCCTTCACACTTCATTTAGTCAAAAGCACAACTGCATTTCAAAGTCTTTCTCCTGAATCTGTTACTAATAACTGGACCCCCTAGCATTTGTCTTTCGTGAGTGTTACTTTTTTTAGCTTTTTCTATTTCAAGTACTAAGATTTGTATCAGTGTTTAAGCTAATCTAAAGGTATTTTTTTTACTCCTTTTTCTTTAGAATTTTATAAGAGTGAAGTGATCAAGAATTCTCTGGTAAGTTATTTAATAACTTAATCTATTTTTCTTTTTAAAATTATATCTATAGTGCCAGCATATTGATTTCTCTGCTGAATATCATAACTCTTTCACGTGTCTTTCCACTCTTCAGTTCTAGGAGCATCATGTTGTTCTCCTCCTTTTCAGGTGCTATTCATGAGGTTAGAATAGGGAGTTACTGAGTAGTAGAAATGCTGATTTCTTTGTGTGTTGTGTAGGAAAACAGTAAGAAACATATACCTGGATATATAAACGTGTATTCATTGAAGAGTTAATAGAAGAGTAAGAAGCTGAACTGTGTAAACATCTTAGATTTTCTAAATTTTCCAGTTCAGATCAGTGAAGGGACCAGAACTGAATAGTGCTGTAAACTTAATTATTGGGGGATAGATCAGCATTTAACTTTTGCAATATAAGCTATACCCTGGTTTTCAGAAGCTGACTTGTAACTGGGAAAGGAATGCAACTTCCACTTTGAAATGTCCTGATTTGGCTGAACTGAATTCTGAAGTAAATTCTTCAGTGTCTTGTACTGGAAGGAAGCAGAGCCCGCTCTCTGTTTCTGATGAAGCTTTTAACCCAGGCATTCTTTCTAGAGAAGGAAACAGCAGAGCTTGTTGGCTTCAGCTCTGCATGAACCTTGAAATGGCTGCTGTTCCTCATTCTTAACATTTTTTAAAAATCTTTGATGTGGACTTTGCTACTTTCTGAATTATCGATGTTTGAACTGCTTTCAGCTTGTTTAAATGTGTTTATCCATCTTTGAATACTCAGAATCCAACCTGGAGGAGTCTGGACTTTGGGTTGATGCCTGATCGTCTGGATACCTCTGTGTCTTGTTTTGTCGTGAGGATCTGGGGTGGCAAGAAGGAGCATTTCCAGCTTTTGATTGAATGGAAGGTCAATCTCGATGGCTTAAAGTACTTGGGCCAGCAGGTAATGGGAAAACAGTTTTCTCTCAACTTTTTACCTAAGGAATCAAAGCATCTGGATGAATTCATATACAGAATGCTAAGAAAAAAAATGAATGTGTTTGAAGGGTGTGTTTTAAAGTCTGATTGCAGATATTCATGTCAGTTTTACCTCAGAGCTTACCATGGCTGAATTCATCTTTTCCTGAGGTTTTGTGTGCTTGTAGAATTACAGGTGATGAAAAGCTGCTTTGGAGCATCAGAGCAGTTTGTGTTTGTTTAGAGCAGTTTGTGTTTGTTTGCTGTGGAAAGCTGTAGTAAGCTGGCTGTGAACTGATTTGTTTCCTTTCCTTCTTACAGATTCATGCAAGAAACCCAAACGAGATTATTTTTGGTCTCAATGATGGTTATTACGGAGCTTCATTTGAACAGAAGGTGAGGGTGTCTTGTATTTGTTCTGGCTTGTTGGTGCTGGTGACAAGCTGAAATTCAACTTGTGAGCTTGATTTTTCACACTTGGATGCTCAGAACATTAAAATGCTTGGTTTTGAGAAAAAATACTTCTTTGACGTGACAGATTAGAAGTATTATCTTGCCTCGCTTGCGGGGCTGTCTGAGATGTCTTGAAAAGGCTTAGTGTAGCATTTTAAGTCCAAAAAAAATCTCTGGTTACTGAAAATAAGCTTTGACTGTGTTCTTTGAGGCAGACATTTCATGCAAACAGGGGACATATTGCAAATGATGTAGCTGTTAAGACTCATTTAAGTGGCAAATATAAAACCACATTAAACTTCGGTTATTGGGCTGAACCCAGGAGTTTGTAGCTCCTTAATGGGAAGCTGTTTATTTGCTCTGTATCAGCTGTTTCACCCAAAGGTTTTTTTCCCAGAGGACTCACTGTAGTGTTTGTGCCTGTCCAGCCAATATTGTCAGTGATTATAACCTCGCTGATGATGAAAAAGTTTAAATTTACCTGTTGTAAGTAGTGCATCTGGCATGTTTGTTTTGTTTTTTTTTTTTAATCCCAAATTGCTGGACACAGTACTGTGGTATGGATAGTTTGTATAAGGAGTCCCTGGCTGGAGGGAAAATGCCTCCTTGATACACAGCCTATGCCTATTATTTTTTTAATCAGCTAGATCCTGGCACTTAATTATTACGTCTGCTGTGTGGCCTGTGGTTAACACAGTTGTGAGGAGATGTTAACAGGTAACTGCATTTCAACACCTTCTGTATGGAAACTGCTTGTTGAGGCAGGAAGGAATCTGCAGACAGGGACTGTGGGACTTGAGTCCACCTCCATCCCTGTGGGAAGGCTAGCTGATCCCAGGGACAGCTGGGGCTGCTTCAGGCACTCAAATAAAGGCCTGTTTTCCTGAAATCCACAAACTTTCTGACAGTGCTGCCAGGTGGTTTGACCTGCTTAGAATTCACTTTATCACATGAAGGAACAGTCCTGGGTTCGTGGAATTTTCTAGGAATGTGTGTGACCGTGCCTGATAATGGAAAAGCTCCACATCTGCCCTTTGCAGCGTGAGGAATTCCTGCCTGGCTGTTGCTGTTCTGATCCCTGCTGTGCAGAATGGATGCTTTGGGCTCTTAAGAGTGACATTTATTTTGTAATTTCCAGAAATTTGTTCACATCACCCAAGACTGAGATCGCTTTGATCTTTCAGAGGTGTTGCTCTGGCACGTTCCTGACTGGGCTTTCAGTGGAGCTGAAGGATGGCAGCTCTGTAAACTGCATCCTTCAGTGCTCCTGTGCAGTAAATTGGGACAGTTAGGGATTATAAAGTGCAGGAAAGAACACCCTGTGTCTTTTACACCTTCATAGGCAGGTGGTGTTATTACCACCTTGAGTTGTTCCTACATATCAGACATAAAATGGTGAAAACATTTAAAATACATTAAATGCCAGATCATTTATTCAACCAAAAGCCTTGCATGCTTTTAGTCAAGGTGGAAAATTTTTTGATTCTTTAATGACTGTTCTTTCTTTGCCTTAAGGATCACTCAGGTACCCTGAAGAACAGCCTTCTCCAGGTGGATCAGAACTGTGTCCGTAACTCTTATGATGTCTTCTCTTTGCTTAGGTAAGGCTTTTGGTAACACTCTGTGTGGCTGTTGTAACTTCTTTAATTTGTGTATGGAAGGAGCCTTTCTGAATATAAAACAACCCCCATGTTCTGGTGTGGAATGTGCAAAGGGGAGGTGCTGAGGTCAGGCCAGATTCCTGCTGGTGTCCAGGAGATGGGCCTCGGTGTCCAAACATTCCGTGGGGGTCGCTGGGCTTCTGCCACGTGGATGATTGAGAGCTCCGAGCAAGGGCTGGCTGTGGAGCCTTGTGAATGTCCAAATCATGGGACTTCTCTGTTGGAAAGCTTCTGTGGAGAGCCCCTGCTCTGTTCTCCTCAACAGCATTACAATTTATTTAAATAAATGAGAACAGACCCAGTTACTCCAGCACATGTGTGGCATAAGAAAGCTTACAGTGGTTTTTTATTTTTGGGTGGTTACTTAGATGTCTCTGGTTGTAAAAAAAACACATAAAATGTTAATGAAAACATAAGATGTCTTTTTTTCAGATCTGCTTTAATTATAATCATTTAAGAATGTTAGTTGTGGAAAAATATAGTGGAGGTCCACCACTATCAGTAGGTTGAGGAATCTGTATGTGAAAGGCATTTTACAAGGTAGGTTCTGCAGGAACAGCACTAGATGTGCTATAAAGGAAATGAAAGAGAAATGTTTAACATGCTTTTCAAAAGTCCTTGGAAAAACGCAGTTGACTTTTTTTTAATCCAATTTGAATCCATTCCATAGTGCTGACAGTAGGTGTCAGTGTTGCCTGTCTGAAGAAAGGGGTAGGAAAAGTTAACTCGAGGTTGCTTTTTCAGAAGTCCTTATTTTATAAGCTCTCTTAAAGTGTAAATGTGCTGTTCCTTGATTCTGTAAAGCATATTTAAACTGAGGGCTACTTTCTGAGTGTCTGTTCCTCTGCTTTTAGTGGGAAACAACCTGGGGGGTGTCAGGAAGTTCTGGTTTTGTTCTGGCACAGCCCATTAGCAGAGGACTCTTGTACCACCAAACATAAAGTCTTTTTGTTAAGTAGAAAGCAGCAAACATGTGCAGCTCAACCTGATTGCTTTATTCATGTGTTTTTCACATTTCTTGTGCACTTCCATGGAAAATGAACACACTCCATTAAAAACCCCGTTCTATCAGCAGGTTCTGGCCCAACCCTTCACTCCTGGAAAACTTCACAGGGAGAGTTTGTGTGCCTGATCTCTGTATCAAAACTGCTTTGGGGGGGGAAGAAGTGATGTCATTGTTTTCCTCAGAAGTGAACAGCTAGAACTTGTGAATAGGCCTTAATGGAAAGCACGTGCTCAGCTCAAATTATGTGGGCTTAAAAAAATTAATTAGCAATGACAGCGTGTGTGAGCAGGAGAACGTTTTTTGTCTGTTGGATTAAAGCAGTGCCTGTGTGCTCAGATGCTGCATTACAGGGATTTACAAGTTAATTAAGCAGGAGGAAAAGTTTAGGTACAAAGCTCAGCTTTACAACTGGAAGTTCTGGGTGCCTTTGCAACCCAGGAACCTTCCTGTTCTGGGGCAGGGACAAGATCCTCAGGTGAACATGAGGTTGCTCATAATTGTTTGTGCCACGTGGAAGGGACTGATGTTCTTCCAGCCATTTGCTTTACAAGGGCTCACTAACAAAAATCCACCACCCCGACTGGAAAGCTCCAATTTTGAGGTTTTTGTTCCTTGTCAGATTTCCTGAAGAGAGGTCACTGGAAGACTTTCTAAATATTATGTTGCTGATGGTAATGGGTTGTACAGTAACATGTTTCACCTTTCACACAGCACTCAGGAAGGGCCAAATCCATTGAGCTCATGTTCTGGACGTGTCTCCATAATCAAGTTCTCAGCACGTTTGCAGCACTAATGGGAATAGGTTTATATTTAGTGTTTCTTAGTTTTCTAGCCTTTCTTTTCTTTAAGCTTTGAAAAATAGACCTTTCACTATTAAGTGGAAGATGAGATGTCACTAAAGAAAGGGCTTAAAATCCCATATATTAAACTTTTGCTTCAGTTTTAAATACAAAAATTAATATAGAGCATTCTGCAGCTTTTCTTGATGATACTTAGAGAGCAGTTGGCCTGTGCAAATATGTGAGTGCCTGAAATCCCCCCAAATCCTGCCTGGAGACAAAAAGTTCTCTAAGGACTGGTGAAGATCTGTCCCTTTGAGGTTTGGCTTCATGTGGTTTTATCTCTCCAGTCAGAGCTGCCTTCTCTGTGGTTTAATCATCCCTTCAGCAGATGGCATGGCATGTTTGGGGTATTTACCCAGCCAGTTAGGCCAGATTGAAAACACTTTGGTTGTATTTTTCTTTTTAAAAATAGTGGTTTTTAACGACATCATCATCTGATATTGGTGCAATTTGAGTGTTGGATGGGTAGAAGAGCAGCTCCAGGCAGCTGCTGTAGTATTGCTGTATCTAATCTGGCTGAATTTGATTTAAATAATTTTTCTAGGTGTTAATCTGTCATAGGGCAGGGTAGGGTTCAAGTGACAGGCTTTGCTTTAGGGTTTGCCATTTGTGATACAACTGTTCATGTAAAGAAGAGTGTTTGTCTTATCACTGAAGAGAGATTATTTAAGAATACAAATGTAGGTATCATTTGTCTGAGGTCTGAAATGTTGATGTTCATAAAATCACCTTCAAGTGAGCAAATAAAGTCAGCTTTTGTTTAGCTCTGCTTATCTTAGGGGAGATGCTTTTAAATAGCTGTGTTGCTTGTGTTTAAATTCTTCCAACTTTATTAGAACTTTTACAAGTGAATCTCTGAAACTGGAAATGGAGACAAAACACATGGTCAGGGTAGGCAGCTGTGGTGGTGAAATACTCATGAGTAGCTCTGAGTAGTTTGTCTGAGACTCCGGAGTCGGTGGGATTGTGTGTGCCAAGTGGAGGAACTGCCCTTGGGCAGCTATTTTTAACACCTGGAAACGATGCTGGAAGTGAAGCTGCTTTTCCTGAGCTCTGAGCAGGGTCCTGGTGGGCTGAAGCTGCTCAGTGTAAGGTGTGTCTGGGGCACATGGGCTGGTCACAGAACACAGCCAGCCCTCAGCAGTGGCAGTGTCCTCTCCGACAGCTCAGTCAGACTTTGCTCTTGTGTGGTGGATTTAAGTAGCAATTCCAAACTTTAGGCTTCCAGTTGTTTAGTGGGGTGAAAAGGAGGGAAAGCAGGAAGAAAACATGCTCTTATCAGCTGCTCTCTGACTTCACCTGATAACAAACCCCGAGGTGAGCCATGCAAAGCTGTTCACTTTGAACTTCCCTGAAATCCTCTATGTTCATCCTCATCTCCGTGGAAAAATGAATCCAATGGAGCTGGGCAGCATCTGGGACTGCATGGAAACAGAGCTGCTTTTTGCTGCCCTGTCCCTTGAGGCATTTTGGGAGATGCAGAGAGAGAGAAGGGGAGGCAGGAAAGAGTTAGTTAAATTTTAAAATGTGAACGGACATATCTTGTTTTTAGCTTTTCCCTTTGCTGTCCTGTCCTCAGAGAAGGGCCCCAACTCATAGCCGTGACCAAGCCCTTTCGAAATGCTGCAGTTATGGATGTTCATGTTGTGGGACAGTGCCACATCCTGAGGAGATGGTGTGGATGTAAATTGGTGGTCCCCAATAGCCTGATGTTCTTGCAGTGCCTTACTCCAGCTTTTCCTATATCTTGGCAATAAAATTGCTGGCTCATGTTGGCAGACTTTCAGATTTCACCTTGCTGCTGCTGCTGCCATGCCCCTGCCCCAGCAAACGTGGAAATACAAGTGTGGGGTGGGTCGTAGGATTCCTCTCACTTGACCTGTGCTCTGAAATCACTCAGTTCCCCTACCAGGACATTGCTTTGCTGGTGATAAGCGTGGTTGGCTCTTTGTGATGGCTGGGTTTGATGTTCCTAAACAGGAAACATTTGCACCTGCAAGACTTGGCCCTTTGTGCTGTAGAGGCAGCCAAGACCAGGCAGGGCATCCCTTGGCTTTGGGCAGGAAAACCCAGGATGGAGGAACAGGAACTGCAGCCAGACCTCTCTAGTGCCTCTGTGAATAATTAATTACTACTGAGATAAATGAACATCACCACGAGTGTCATCTCTCTTGGCCTGAAAACCATGTGGGATGGAACTGTGGGGTGCTGGCTTCCTGGGAAGCAGCAAAGGAGGTGGAAACTGGGATCTGAATATTTTTTTTTTTCTTTTTGAGAGGTTCCTTAGGGATTTTTATTGGTGGCATCAGGCTTTTGGACAAATGCGTTCCCAGGCATTTTCCATGTGTGGTGCTGAGCCGTGGGGAGCTGAGGCTGATCAGTCAGCACAGGAATCCATTTACAAGGCTGGCTGTTGCCAGGAGCTGTAGCTGAGAGCGCCGTGGGTCACAGCAAGGGGAAACAGGCCGTGAAGCGTCAGAGAGGGGGAGGTTTTTGTGTGTTCACTGCAGGGTTCAGCCTGCTGCCGCTCTGATCTTCATGTGCCATGTGGAACAAACCACCCCTGCAGTGGCAGGGTTTTAGTGTGAGCAGGGCAGGCATGTTGCCAGCTCTGGGCCAAATTTGGGTTCAGAGCACTTCTGAGAGAGAAAATACACAGAGCTGTGCAGAACTTCAAAAACTGCTTTATTCTGCTTCTCTGCTTGTGACAGTGTGTAAAAGATGGTGTTAATGAAGCGAAGTTCAATTAGATGAGAAGTCAGAACACAGTCCTGCTCCTTTTCCTGGCTCTGTTAGAATTGGTGAAAAACAGACCTTGTCAGAGAATAATCAAACAGTTTGGGTTGGGAGGGACTTACTTTTAAAGACCATCTCGTGCCATGTGCAGGGGCACCTTCCACTGTCCCAGGATGCTCCAAGCCCTGCCCAACCTGGCCTTGGACACTTCCAGGGATGTGTAGGAAGTGCACCAATGTCTGAGGAGCTGCAGAACCCTCCTGTGAGCATTCTGACCATCCCTGTCAGGTGGGAGATCTCTCTCCTCTACTTCAGCTGCAGGGTTCTGCTTCTCTTGGAAGTAACTTTAGGTTGGAGTTTGGGGGTGGCTTCCAGGAAGAGTGCAGCAGTTGCAGCTTCCTAACATGAGTCCCCTGAATACTGGCTGGTGTTCCTCCTCCCCCTCCCTCCCGTGGGTAAGGCCCATGTGCTGTTGTCACAGGCACCTTCTCACTTGGGTGGCCTGTGGCTGGAGGAACACAAGTGGAGAGCAATTGTTTCTCTTTTTGGATGGAGCCTGTAACCCATTCAGCCTGAATTTGTACATCTTTCTTTTCACAGTGTAGTGAACTCCAGCCTTAGTCTTGCTCACTCTCTGAGCGAGAATTGGAGCTTCTATTAAGGTTTGCTGGCAAAAGGCAGTTGGACTGTACTGGTGTCACTATCCTGCTGGCAGGAGTTATCATGACGTGTTTATGCACTTGGGAAATTTGATTTGCATCTTATTGACCTTTCTACTAAACACAGTGTCTCGAGTGTGATCTCTTCTGCCCTGGCAACAGGGTTTCTGTAATCACAAACTGAGACAGAACAAAAAGAAACTTCCTCTCTTACTTGTCACGAATACATTTGTTCTTTGAATAAAAAAAATCAACCCATAAATCCATCCCAGCACTGGAGTTAATCTGTGGATTAGAATAAGAGGACTAGAGACATCTCAGGTTTTGTGGCTTCATTTCTGGAAAAATTGTTTGAGCTTCACAGTAAGACTCTTCTGTTCCCTTCATGCCCTGGGAGTATTGAAGGTGATCTGTGTCCTACCTGGTTCCCTTAAATACTCCTCACACAGACCAGGACCTGCCCTGCTGCCAATGTGATAGGCGTGGTTTTTTTGTTTGCTTCCCCGTTTCCAAATGGCTCAAAGCATCCACTCTTGCAGTGCACAAATCCATGTGGACTTGGTTATTCAAAAGCTTGGTTTTGAATCTTGCACATGTAAGACTCAAATGGAGACTCACATGTCAGCATAGGACTCACATGTGACTCACAGGTAAGACCCAAAACTGTTTGGAAGAATGCTGGAAAGTTATCCGTGCTGTCCTGGGTGAGTTTCTTACAGCACTGGCTCTTGGAGAGGTTTAATGTCATAAATGAGTAAGTCAGACTTGCATTTTGTTCTTTTCTTACTCCCTACTGTCTTCTCTTGCCCTACATCTGCTTTTGACAAATTGTAGGTATAGGTTTCTGAGGAAATTGGAAAGGGAGTATATGATTATAAATTAGAAAAATTTTTCTTGTGGGAAAGCAGATGTAGCAAATGATGGTTTAAGGGGTTATGTAAAAAATACTTTATAGCTGGCTGGCACTTTCCACAATCCAATTTCTGAGCAGATATTAAGTGGTGTGCATTCCAGGTTTTGTATTTAATGGGAAAGCCTTAGATTATTTTTTCTTTAATAATAGGTTTGGGTACTTTACTTCCAGGGCCCTACATCTCACTTCTTGCCAAAATTGTTCCATTCTATTTTCTAAATCCCTGGTAGTAATTCTCAGTTTAAATTTAGTCTTGCTGTAAACTAAGGTTGTTCTGGCAAATAAGACCAGAGGCATTTATTTCTCTTGTGAGAAGTAGCTGTAGTGTGTGACTGCTGTAATTAATTGATGTATTTATGGCTTAAGGTCCTGTACATGAAAAATCCAGATGTGTCTGATAGAAGCAAACAGATATTTGGAGTGGATGATAGAACTGCAAAATCATGTATCAAATGTCTAATAAAGCTGAGGCTCTTTCATTAATGTAAATATAAGCATATGTGAGCTTAATAGGCACAAGTCTCACTGCACTCCAGCTTTCAGGTTGTTACAGATTGCAGCCAGCAATGAACTTGCTCTATAAACCAGTAAATCACTGCTAATGCACGACCAGGAGGGACCAGGATACTGCAGCGTGTCTGAAAGGGCTTCAGCTGAACCTTCCAACTTAGTGCAGACTGAAAGACAGTAAATGTGTTGTTACAGCACATTCCTGGGTTGTAAAGTCAAGGTCTGTTGGGCCAGTGCGCTGTGCAGTCCTGGGGAAATCAGGAAAGCTGATTGATCTTCTTGATTCTTGTGGCAAAGGAATCTTGTCATGGGGAAGAAGTCTAAAACTTCCCCCTCCAGGGCAAGACCCAGATTGAACTGACTGGCAGAACACTGTGTGCTGGAATTGTTTCAGATCTTACAGCCAAGGGAGAAAGGGGCTTGTGGGCTTAGATATTTTTTAATTTATTTTATTTTATGGGGAAGCGATTTGATGTCAGACTTGAAAAGCCTTGAAGAAAGAGCCCCAATAGCCTGTATTTCAGGAACTTGGGATCTAGCAAGTGAAGAGGAGAGATGCTGACATTATGCCTGCTGGTTCTTCCTAGACCAAGTAGGGATACAGCTTTTGTTGGGCTTAGCTTACACTATGGCTTATGTTTTTAATCTGTCTCACTTTCTCCTAAACTTCCAAAGGAAGGGAGGGTGTTTTGTTTCCTCTCCATTTTCCCCATCTCAGAGAGCAGGTGATACAAGCATGGAAGTGGAAGAGCAGCCCTGTGGATCCCCACCTCGGATCCATCTGAGGGCTCAGGAATTTTAATGTCCGCTGTGCTTTCCGGTTTTTCCCAGGCAGCAGCGTGGAACTGGCTGAGGTTGGACAACTGCACAGCAGCTCTCAGGGCCCCAGGCAGTAAATCTGTCCCACTTCCCATTCCAGTTGCTGTGCTGCTGGCTGACAGTGGCTGGGAGCTCTGCAGACACAGGGGGGTGACGACACTGTTGGCTGAACCATCCCTTTAGAAGGGCTGCAGTTTCTGCTGGAGCTGCCTTGGCTCTCCCAACCCCGAAGGAAATTTGGTAGCAGGCCAGTGGCCTCTTGAAGCCCTCAGTTAGCTTCTAAAGTGCTGTGGAAGTGCTAATTTTAATAAAATGTATTAAAAAATGACGTATTGAACAATGTAGGAAGAATCCTGCCCTGGCTGATAGCATGTAGGGTTGTGCCATCGGTGGGCACTTCCTAAGCCAGTCTGGACTGTGCTTGGGCTGAGTTTAGGCTTGGGCTGAGTTTAGGCTGCAGCACTGGACCTGCATTCAGCCTAGAAATGGGAACAAGGTGCAGTCAGTTAGGGTTGGAGTTTCTCTCCATTTGTTCTCTATAAATTTTAATCCAGATTTATGGCCTCAGCTTGCTGATCTCCATCCACTGGTGCAAATCATAGTTGCTTCCACCAAGGGACTGTCCTGTGCATGCAGAAATGATGGACAAAATTTCCATGCTGGCATTCCTGTGGCTTAGTTTGTCTTCCCTTTATTGGATGACCAAAGATTTCCACGTGGGGACTGGTTTTGGCTGGGAAAGGGAGATTTCTGTTGATAGTTGCTGCTTTTGTGACATGGTGTCCCTAAAATTTCAGTCCTGGAAGACTTAACTTTGGTTGTGGTCATGTTCTTCCTGTTCCCATTTTAAAGTTCTTGGAACAGCAGTGAACATGCTGGGGTTGAGTAAGGCAGTGTCAGTAAATGCTCTGTCTTGCAGTGTAAATGGCACTCTTTGGCATCAAGGCAGCCAAGTTTCACTGTTGGGTTTTTATAGTGCAAGAAATGGCTGGATGATGTTTGGCTTAAAAAGAAATCCATTTCTTATTAAAAGCAGACTTGATTGCTGGATTATTTTGCAGAGCAGTTTTTATAGGTTGGGGTTTATCTGTAGATATCAATTCACCCAGCTGAACCAGTATTCCACAGTGTGGGTTGTTTTGGGGAGTCAGCCTTGAATGAATGTTTGTTCCTTATACTTGGGCAAGGGGAGGAGAACTTAGTTACTACAAAATGTGTAGGTTGTTGATGAGAATTGATTAAATCACTGTGAGGAGCTCACATGGCAAATGACCCTCCTAACAATTTATCAGTTACCTAAATCACAGGATACTGGGAGTTGAAATACTCTTTCAGTGAGTAAAACACCTCCCAGCAGTCAGGATTTGCTACCTCAGTGTTGGGATGTGAAAACTTGTAAAACTTTCTCTTAATCACATGACGGACTAAATGGAGAAAGTTCTCCCAGTATAAAATGACATGTAGAGGAAAGGGAAGTGTCACTCAGTTATTACTCTTTGCCTAACAGTTTTAGCTTTGGGTAAGGCTTTCTTGTGTCTGGTAAGAAAACATTGCAGACTTTTGGAAAGGGGCAGGCTGGGAAGTGTGGAATAGAAGACTCAGCCCCTGCTGTAGGACGTGACACAGCTGTAACTTCTCTTCTCCCTACAGGCTCCACAGAGCCCAGTGTGCAATTAAACAGACTCAGGTAACTGTGCAGAGGATAGGGAGGGAGATTGAAGAGAAGCTGAGATGTACATCCACACGGAACGAGCTGGTACGTTGGATTTATTTACAACCTTTTGTGGGCTTGCTGAAGCGTCTGACTGATGTCTTGATCATGAACTTGGCTTTTTTTAACACTTGAACTTAAAATCTTTCTTTAAACCTGTCATTTCAAATGGGAACTCACCTGAGAGCTGTGTGATGGAATGACTGTGAGTTGCGTGTGGTGCTCAGTTGGATTGATGGACTGCTTGGCCTGTTTTTACCTTTTTTGATATAATGACTTTATGCTATAAAAGCATAAACATTGCACAGTGCAGGGAAGAGGCTTTTCAGGGAAAACAAACTTGTAATGATTTAGATCAATCTTGACAGGAAGCTGTGGTAGATTCAGGGTGAGGTGAGTCAGGAAGGCTGTACCCTCCTGCACCCCAACTCCCTTCGGATGAACAGAACTCGTGCAAAAGCTGTCACTCAAGTGACATGTTCATTTTAAGCAGGAATTGTACTGGATCTTGCAATAGCTTTTGACAGTTTGTTTTGCCTGCCCTCTTCCCCTCTCCAGAAGTGTCTGCTGGCACTGGTTTCTGCTTTCTGCCCAGCAGAGCTGGGCTCAGCTCAAAGCAATGAGCTGCCAGAAAAGAGGTGGCTTGTGGTGACTTCATTACACTGGCACATGTCTGGATGAGTTGCTTTCCTTCCAAAGCAGAAAACCATCAGAGTCTTTGGGAATCTGTTGCCTGTGGGAATCTGTGAACTCAGCCTTTAGTCTGGCAGGCACTAATCTTGTCCTGTTTATTCCTTCCCTCCTATAACCTTTTTTTGTGGAACTGCTTCCATGCAGAAAAAGTTGCCTTTTGCCTTCCTTTTATTTTAATCTGTTTTTCTCCCAATAGAAGAAGGAGAGTGAATGTTTACAGCTGAAGATCCTGGTGCTACGTAATGAACTGGAGAGGCAGAAGAAGGCCCTTGGTCAAGAAGTAGCCTTGTTGCACAAGCAAAAAAGTCGTTTGAGTGACAGAGGTAAGTGTAGGAACCTCAGCCTGGCTTATGATCATGGTGCCCAGAATGGCATGGTTTCTGTTTCATTTTTATTTATTGTCTGGCTCTAATGTGCTGTGTTTTTTCTTTGTCTGAAATCTGCAGGCAGGTATCATTTTTTCACCACCTGTCTTATACTGAGCTTTGGACAGCAGTTTGTGGTGTCTTGTCTCTAAATAACTTCTTACTATGACACCTCTCTACAGTAATCTTTAAATTGCGCTTAATTAGTTTTTAGGAGAAAATCAGAGGAGCTGCACTGTAATACAGTGAACAGTGGCTTTGTAATGTCAAGGGGGAAGTTACTGTACCTGTGATTAGGATTCCATTTTAAGTGTTAGGAGAAAATAAATCTCTCTTAATAGCTGGTTACGTAAGTGAAAGGTGAAATGCTCAGCCACCCTGGTATTTCCCTTTACTAGGAGAGTGTCCTGCAGTAAAATGCTGCATCACTGCTCCTTTGGAGCTCACCAAGGCCAGGCTACACAAATGATAGATCTTGTTGCAGGATTTTTTTTTTGTTTGTTTTTAGTGCTTATTTGAGTCTCAAGTAATTAGTCTCTACTAAAAGGAGTTTTTTCCCATGCACCTCATCCTGGCTGTGCAAGGGGGTTGAGATACCCTAATTCATTACTGCACTGCTTGGCCATGAGGGGAACAGGTATGAAAGGAAGGTGAAGTTTGGTTGTGTTTGGTGAATGGGTGCATGGTTCCCACTGTGCTGGCATTCCCTACTTTGGGAGCATGACATGGAAAGTGGGAAGAGTCAGGGGAGGATTACTGCCAGCATTTGTGTCAGTACCTACTATTAAAACTTCTGATAACTAAGAAAATACCTATTTTCTTTTCCCTGATTCCTCTTGTTGTTTAGAAAATGCATTTGGGACTGAATATGAGAAACTTGGAGAGCACAACGAATCCCTGGGAGAATTAAGGAAGGAATGCACTGCCAAGAGGTAAAAGGGCCTCTGCTTGTTCTGCAACTGGAAAAGAAACACAGACTTGAGAGGAGGCCATTGGAATTGGGAATTCTGGCACCAAATCCTTCCTCACGTGGTCCCAAAACATCTGTTAAAACATCTCTGCTACAACTTGTAGATATCAAAAGGGAGAATTACCAGTGGCAAGTCTAGAAGAGAAGGACACAGATGCTTGGTGGCCTGTGTGGGCTCTGATAGGACTTCTAGGTCTGTTTTAGTGTCACAGCTCTGTAATACTTAATTCTCAGTCGAAAAATGTCTGAAATGTGAGGTACGTGTGAAAACAACAACTTCTGTCGGCTGTGTTAATGCTTTGGGTGGAGTTACCCAGCTTATGGGGAGGGCAGGTGGTACCTGGGGAGCTGCAGAAGGGACAGAACAGCTTGTCACCCTTATTTAAGGCTTTTGAGGGAACTAATGGGTTTGGGATCTCTTTCCCACAGAGAACAGCTTTTGAAGACAAACGCCCAGCAGACTATCCGATGCAAGCAGCTGCTGTCAGAGCTGTCCTACATCTACCCCATTGATCTGGTATGTGCTCAGCATCCTAAAAACCTGCCTGATTTGAAATGGACTTCCTGTGTATTACACTGCAAGCAAATATCCTGTTTTATTCACGGTGAAATCTGCTCTTTGCTCATCCTGTTTATTCCGGCTTCTTCTTACGTTTTGTCCTTGGATTGCAAACTTCACAGGGAGGGCACTCCAGTGAAATAGTATAATAGCTCAAATTTAATGGATATTTGCACTGTTGTTTACAATGGTGTAAAGTAACCCTGACAGTGGGTGAGCTGAACTCTTAAGAGAGTGCACAGAAACAGATGTCAAAATGTTGAGCTCTAAAACCTTTTACATAATGATTTAAAATCAAACTCGTCCCTCTTTAAAAAAATTGCATACATTTTCTGAATTCTGTGAAATGCGGATTAAAATACTGTGTCAAAGTCACTCTGAGTTTAACTAGATATTTAGGTTTTGATTTTTTTTTCTTAGCTTTGTTGTAATTGGATTTTATGCAGGTTTTGGTTTTCTGGATGTTACTGTTCCATTCTCACTTTTCACTGTTGATTTTAAACCTACAGAATGATCAGAAGGATTACTTTGTTTGTGGAGTCAAGCTTCCTAATTCTGAAGACTTTCAAGGTAGCTGGATATTCTTAATGTAGCTGTTACAGTTAACACTGCTTCCAAACTTCAGAGAATCAAGTAAACTGATAATAATGGCTTGGGATCCAGATTTTTGACCAGAAAGGTCTAGACTAGAGGAAAACTTAGGAATTATTTATCCCTGCTTCCTTTTGCTCCTGCAAAGTAGATTTCTTGTTGGCTCTTAGAAAAGCATCTCTGTGTTCTGAGACTCCACAAGCAGAGCTACCCAGAGGGGCTGTGGAGTCTCCATCCTTGGGGATGCTCAGAGCCCAGCTGGACACAGCCCTGGGCAACCTGCTGCTCCCTGCCCCTGCTCTGAGCCTTCCCAGGGGTGCCTTCCAAACTCAGGGATTCTGCAAAGTACTTGAGTCTGACCTAAAATTCTTCTGGGGCCACTTCTAGTCCATAAATCTTGCTGGGGCAGCAGGCAGGAATCCCCACTGGGTTTGCTGGAGCTGCTGGAGAAATTACGGGATAAATACCTCACCAAAATGAGCCTCTAAACCTCTGTGACAGTATGAAGTGCTTTACAAGTCAGCTGCTACTTTAACTGTCGACCCTCATCCTGTTGCAGAGGCAAATGTTTCATGTGCCTGTGTGTATAACAGTTGTACAGGTAACTGCATGCATTCAGCTGCACGTGTTTGGTGTGACTGCAGCTCCGGGAAAATGCCCTGGAGAATTTCCCAGCATTTGCTCGCTCTGGTTTCTTGAGCAAAAACCTCCATCAGTTGTCTAACTCTTTAAAGCCATCCCATAGTAACTAACTTGTACTAACAATGTGTATATTGGATGCAGAATGGTGGAGGAATAATCTTTAAAACAAATTAATTTGTCAACAGGACAAAACCGCAGTCTGTTGCTTTGTTTTTCTGATTGCACTGAGTGTTCTAATGAACTCAATCTGGTAATTCTTGAGGAGTAAGTGGTGTGCATCTTCTGGCCCATTTTCAGTTTCCTGGTATTAATTCCTTACAAAAGAATTACTAATTCTTTTATCCAAGGCTCTAAAAATGCAAATGTGTTGTGATAAAGAAGTACTAAGCATCCAACTTATTGAAATATGCAGTTAAATTTGAAACCTGACGTGGATCTTACCTCACTCAGGAGATAATATATTTTTTTTAAAATTAGGCATCTGAAGGATCAAAAAGAATTGATTCCCTAAAAAGCCACTTTTGCTGCTTGTCCTCTTTGGTTGATTTTATGGGATTCCCTTGTGCATCAGGAGGGGTGACTCTTGTGCTGTTTGTATCCCCTACAAGGAATTAAAATTAGAGAAAAGGGAAAGGAGAAGCCCTGACGTGGCTAAAGGATGTGTCATTACAATCACCAGACCTGGGTGTATTCCCAGCAGGTGAAGCTCCAAGGTTGAAACCTGAAATGTCAAATAAAAAAGAATACTTTAAAACAAGGGGTTAATCCAAGTTTTTGCAGTTTTTGGCAGAGTTTCTGCCGTGGGGTGAGTGTCTCTCCAAGTGACCTCACTGGTGGCTGGAGTTGTGCAGGAGTGCAGCCTTCCCCTGACCCTGGCAGTCCATCCACACAAATGCACAAAGCTTAAGGCTTGACTTTTGTCTTGGGAATTTTGTTCCACTCTTCCCACCTTTTCTTGGCCCTCCCCCAGCCAGGTGGTTCAGCTTTGAACACGTAAAACTGGCAGGAGAAACGAGCCACGACCCGCTTTCCATGAGAGCCAAACACGGTGAATGCAAAGCTCTCCAAAGGGACTTAAGTGTTCCTGAGCTCTGGCCTCCGGGAGCCGCATCAGCCGTGGTGTTCTCTGAGCAGGAGGGCTGAGCACCAGGGTTCGGTGCATCCAACAATGGACTCTCCTTGTTGTTGGCAGCGAAGGATGACGGAAGCATCGCCGTTGCCCTGGGCTACACTGCTCACCTGGTTTCCATGATCTCCTTCTTCCTGCAAGTGCCACTCAGGTATCCCATCATCCACAAGGGCTCCCGCTCCACCATCAAAGACAACATCAACGACAAACTCACCGAGAAGGAGCGAGAGTGAGTATGTTGGGAGTGCACTCATGGCCTTCCCTCAAAACAACAAATCAGCACCAAAAAACCCCCCACCCTGGATGGTTTTGGGAACTCTGAAGTGACAGGGAATTTGAAGGTGCTGTTTCCAGTAGTCGTTTGAGTTTCTCTTGTTGGAATTCTGGGATCCAACAGAGTAGTTCAGCTTTGTTGTTCTCACTCTCTTGGCACGCACATGCCTCTGATTTGGCTTCCAGTAATGCTAGAAAAACTTCAAAAGTGTTTCTTACAGGTAATTTTTGGCTGTTGGTTGGAAAAATTGCCCTTTATGTTTTGCTGCTGGCTGTGGGAATAAATTGCAGATGGCACGTGCAGCCTCACTGGGAGCTACTGCCAGTGCTGGGGTGGGGGCAGATAAATGTGAGGAAACAAATTTTCTCTAACACAGAGGGTTTTAATCAATTGAAAAAGAGCACACTAAACTTCCACCTACTGTAAATCAGCCTAATATTCAGTAAAGAGCTTTTTGTTTGTTCTGTAATCATTGTCTTTCAGCATAATAATCCAAATCAGGATGGAAGGGTTTTGTTGTGCCTAGCAATCAGGATAGGGATGCTTGGGAAGGGTCCGACTTCCCTTTGCAGCTTAGTGACTTGTGAAGGACAGACAAGGTCATTTGCCTGAAGAGTTGGAATCACTCAGGTCTCCTTGTTTTGGCACAATAAAATACAACTACATAATGATGTCCTGCAGAGTAATTTTGATGCCATTTTAATAACTTGTCTGAACACTTCCTGGGTAACTTAACATTAACTTGAGTGGCTTTAGTGTAGGTCCTGAAGCATATGGTCATATCCTTCCTGAGCACCACTTGGAGGAGGATTGCAAACTAGAACATTTATATCTGCAAAACAAATTTCTGAGGAGTAGAGCTGCCTGTGTGTGGGTGTATACAGATTAACCCAATTTCCTGTTGTCTGAGACAGATTGGAGGGTTTAGTCCTTCAGGCTACAGCCTTCCAAACCCTCATGACTTAATCCTTGATTTCACAATAGATTTGTGAAAAGGAGAAAGCTTAGCTAAGAGTATGAATCCCTGTTGGGCCATTTACCTGTGTTCTGCAAGATTTTTTCAGGATTAGCTCCTGCCTGAGATCTTCTCTTCCCAGCTCTTGGAGAGACAATCCCACCAACTCTCAAAGGACTTTGGTTACTATAGAAAACCTTAAATGTCTTAAATTGTAGTTTTTTTCCTAAACTAATGGCTTATGTTTCTCCCTGGCTCCTGACTGCATTGAGCACAGCAATTAACATGCATTATTAAATTTCTTTATTTCAGTCACCTGTCCTTTAGCAGCTTTTCAAACTCCAACATAAACTGTTGAGTAATTGCAGTGAGGTAATCCCTGTGTTTAATCTTTACTATAACACATACATCCTGATTACTGACTGTGTTAAACATTTTACTTGGCATTGTACTTCTTTTTTTTTTTTTTTTTTTTTATGGCAGGGTTGCCCCAAGAACCTTATTAGGAGCTTCTAGAAATTGTGCTTTTGGGGGAATAGCTGAGTTTTTCACTCCAGAGCAAAATCTTAAGTAAATGTGTGTATTTTTAAAGTTATAATGTATAAACCCTTTCAAGTTTCTTTTCTCAGTGCTCAGGTCTGGTTGGCAGGCTGGTGTTGGGTCGTAGCTTGGACTCCATGATCTTGGAGGTCTTTTCCAACCTTAATGGTTCTGTGATTCCTGAGGGTGGGATGAGGGATGGAATGCCTGCCATACAGTGTATGGTCAGCCCTGTCATTGCAGGGCTATCAGTGTTTATAATCCATCCAGTCAGTGTGTTCCTCATTATTCAAAACACAGTTGGGGTACTACAAAAACACTGTTTCCTTCCTGGGAAGGGCTGTCCAGCCCTGGCACAGCTGCCCAGGGCAGTGGGGGAGTCCCCACCCCTGGAGGGGTTTGACAGCCCTGTGGATGTGGCACTTGGGGACATGGGTGAGTGGCGGCCTTGGCAGTGCTGGGGAACGGCTGGATTTGGGTCATTCGTTAACATCTACCAACCTGCATGGTTCTATGGATACATAACTCCCAAATTTAAGCTCCTTAGGACAGCAGCATGTTCCTCTGTCCAGTGACAAGCAAGCATGTTTGCAGAATAAACCACCTCAACTCTTTGGCTCCGTTCTGGTGCAACTGAAACCTAACACTTCATCACATCCTCAGCAGCAGAGCGAGAATGCTGGGATTAAACTACTTCTGATGTGTCCTGACACTGTTGTCTGTCAAGCCCTACATTTCATGCTTCTGGTAGCCTGCTCCCAGATTTTTTAATGCAGAATAGCTTCCAGCTTAGGGCAAAATAAGGATTGTTATGTCTGGAGTGAGACACACACTGGGAAATTCCCTGTGTTGGTGTTGCTCCTCATATCCTAGTATTTTGTAATATAAACAGCTTGGAAATGCATATACCCCTGTAAGAAAAATAATGGGGTTTTGGAGTTTAATCACATTTCTAGTACTCTACATGTGTCTGAACAAGTGAGATGCACATTCAGAACAATTATTTCTGTTGGATTTTTGCATTGTCGCTCATACTGTGTCTTTTAAAAGACTTTCAAGAACTCTTACTTGCCTGCTAGGTAAGCTGGAAATGAGAAGGGTTTCAAGAAAGAGTTCTGCTGAGAGGGTGAGCCCCCAGGATTGGAGGTGTCTCAGCAGTGCCCAGCACAGTCCTGCTGGTCAGGAAACCTTGCATTATGTTATGTGTGCTTCCAAGTGTTAAATCAGGTGATGGGAGTTACTGACAGTGGAAGTTCTGATGTGAAAAGTTTCTTCTCAGGCCTCTGGTTAAAACAAACGTGTAATTCCTTGCCAGTTCTGCCCCAAAACTGCTTCCAAATTACCTTCCTCAGTGTGTTGTCACATCTCAAAGAACTGAAAGACTAGCTGGATTTGCAAAGAAGCGTTGCTGAACCAGCCTGTGGATAATTTTGGAGCATTTGGAGCCCACTTGTGGAATGAGCACAATCTATAGGTGATCCTCACTAGTGGGGCCTCCCTCCAGTTGGGAAGAACGGGACAATCAGTGTCTCAGCTGTAACAGACTTGGTCCTGCAGCACTGGAGGGGTTCTTGCTCTGTGCCTGGGAACAGATGAGCCACTTGCAACAAAACAGCCTGGAAAATGGGGACACAGGCAAGTGAACGTTCCCCAGCTCAGTGGAGAAGTCTTTAATCATATTTGGGGCTTTGGCTGAGATAATGAAATGGCAGCTTTGGGGAGAAATCTTGGCAAACTTAAATCAGATGGAGGGAGATGTTTGGTTGAGAAATCCAATAGCTGTCAAAGCAGAGCTGATTCTTTGGGGTAGATGGAGTGTGTGTTAAGTGTGCAGCTATATTGCTCAAAGAATGCTTTCTGCCATGAACTTCTCTTGAACTGTATTTTTACATTCTACATTCTTGAGGATATTTAGCTCGAATCCTGGCTTATTTTATTCTTGATTACCAAAATAATGCTCGTGCCTTCAGTGGGTCAGCAAATATTGCAGTGCATAGATTAAGAATTAGATCAGGTGTTCTTTAATAAATTTAGGTCCTGTTAACACTGTTTCTGGGAACTGGAAGTTTTTACATGCTCCTGGCCAGGCTGAGGGAGCAGATTTTTGTTTACTGCAGTGGATGAGACCACTGACCCCAGACATCTCCAGCTGAGAAATGTTTCTGTGAAGACATACTAGACTTAATTTGCTCCCACTGGAACACTATACTCCTGATGAGATTCTTTTTCAAAACATGACTTCATTGTTTCACATAAGCAGGGACTTGCCCTGTGTAAAGTGTCCTCCAGTTAAAAATGATCCTCCAGTGGCAGGAGATTTACACTTCTGATAGCAAGGTTTGTGCTCTGCCCTTCCAGACAGCCCTTGTGCTGTGACATCCATCATGGCCTGGATGGTGCAAGCCTGGAATCCAAGCTGAAATATATCACAAAATGCCCAATTTACAAAAAGCCATCAGTGTCAGTGGCTCCATGGATTCCTCTCTGTGCTTTTTGGGCTGTTTGAAAGCGTTATTTGCTGAAGCAGTAGAACGATTCCCTCTTGTATAAATTGGTGACTGTTATCAGGAACTGCCTGACTCTCAGAATCTGGGTCTTTGCTTTTGCATTTTCTCCCTCCAGTCTGCCCACACTGAGGCTACTGTGCATTGTCCAAGAGCAAGGGCACAGCAGTTACACTTATCACAGAGAGATGCTTCTGCTTTCCATTATCACCTTCTTAAACTGTTCAGGCAGGCATTTTGAAAATACGTTTCAGAAAGTCACACTGCTTTAATGTTTTCCTTTCCCACTAAACTAATTATCTCTGTGTTGTGCCAAGCTTGAAGGAGGATGTGCTTTTCCCCCTTGGCAGTCTGTATTTTTGTCATCAAGTTTTGTTTTACAAGTGTAGGTTTTTTCTTTCAAGTAGGAACTCAAACCCATATAGTAATCCAGTCTGAATTCCCTTGGGATTTGGGATTCATGTCTTAATCTCTAATAAGTAAAGTGCACACTTGCCATCCTTTTTTCTGCCTTTTCATTTAATTTTGGGTGTTCTGCTGGAGATCTGTGCCAGTCTCTGCTCTGAAGCTGACAGAGCTGTGGTGCAGCTTCTCTGAGAAGGAAACAGGTTTTAAAGCTGTGCAGCCAAAGCTCCTTGAGCCCTGTCCTTCAGGTAGAATTCTAAGAGGTTGGAAGGGCTTGGATTTTGGTGCCTGCAGCTTTTGAGCAGCCTACTTTTCCTAATATTTGATTTGAAGTGTCCTGGGGAATCACAATTTCAAGTGCTGGCTGGACAGTGGTGGTCATTCTCACTTGTAAGGGTTTGCTTTCTTCTGGTTCAGAGAAGTCCCAGCACTTCTAAATAACAACGTTTGCTCTCCTGGACCCACCATTCCCTTACAATCAGCAAACAGGATGTGGTTGGGTTGGAGGGAAAACTCTCCTTCCTCCCTTGCAGACCCCCAAAAGGGGGTGAGGGTGAAATAACTCAAACTTAGGAAATCTTTAAACCTTTTTCTCGTACACTCCTCATACTTCAGGCATATCAAGCAAGAACTTGTGACTTTTTCAGGTCATTATCTTATCTGGTCGGGCTATTTAGTTCTATCCTTGTATAGAGTGTCCCATCAGTAGATTTAAGCTTGAGACTCATCATTTTCTTAACTGCCCCATTTTTTGTAGTGTTGTGTGAGGCACAGTTGTTCCCTAGATCTGATGGATGGCTCTGTTATCACACCAGTGTCTTACAGACACAGAAATTACATCAGTTCCTTATCTGTATAATAGTGAATAATTGGGTTTCAGCTGCATCCTGCCAAGTCTGCTCCACAGCCGTCTCCCTGCAGCCATCCTGCTCACTGTCCTTGGAAATGAAAAGTGAAGGAAAAAGCCAGGTTGAGTTTGTTCTCTGACAAATTTGGTGCAGTTGGCCAGGAAGTACCAGATACTGTAAATACAGTGATGTGAAAATACAGTGGTGCTGGTTTTATTTAGTCTTGGGACTAAGATTCCAGTCTTTAAGGTCCCTTCCTACCCAAACCCTTCTATGAGAGTTAAGTGTTCCTAAGGTGTGTCCTTGTTGTTAGTTTGACTTGCAAAGCCACAAATACTACTGGTCCTTGGAGTTTTGCATGATTTTGAAAATTAAGGCTTTATAGCACAAATCTAGACTAGATTTGGAATTTTACTCAGATTTGCCAAATGGGATGTCATGTGCTATTGAAACTGTGCCACCCTTCAGCCTGGGGAGAACAGTCAGATGTGAGGTGTAGAAATCATCATTCTACCCACTTCTTCTCTTCAGAGCTTTCTGAAGTAGAGATTAAACTTTAATATAATTTGGGATATGGCAGAAGTCTGAACAGAAGAGAGAATAAAAGATCTAAACCACATGGTGTAACACCAAAGTAGAAGCAGGTGAAAGCAGTTAAAAATGAAGCAATTTCTTAAGCTTTAAAAATAGTTTGTATTAAAGACAGGCTGTTATAGACAATAAAAATGGGCCACCAGTCTCTTGGTACATGTGTGATGGTTCTGGATGCAGAGGAGTTCATAAATCACAGGACACAACAGTAAATGTATCTGGACTTGAATTCGTAGGAGATACTTGAGGTCTGAAGTAAATGTATGGAATAAGGATTCTTTCATCTTTCCCTAACACTTACCACGTGCCTGAACCAGGAATCCTGGGATTCTCTTGCATGTTCATCAACACTGAAGTGATTATGTAAAACACCTAAAGATGAGCTGAGGGTATGAAATCAGAGGAGCTCTTGAGGGCTCATAAGTACTTGGGCAAGGTCAGCTGAGAAAGGTGGGACAGTGAAGAGGAATTTCCAGTGGTTAGAGTAGAATATTCAGCACCATTTCTTTGAGTTGTAATAAGAGAGGTCTAATGCTTAAACCACCACCACAGTGAGACTATTTTTAGCTTTGAACCAGGCCTATGGTTTTGCAGAATCAATGTCTGCAGGCAACTTGAAAATATCTTTTTTTTTCTCTAGTCAACTTCCTGGTGTTTAAATACATCAGTACTAGTGAGCAGTGGAGACACTTTAGTAGCAAATAGTTGCCCGGGCTCTCTTATCAAAACCAGGGGTTTAAATCCATATATTTAAAAGTCAGTGAGAGATGGGTTACAACCCTTTGTTAAGGAGTAACTGATACTCTTTATGAGTTACTCATTAAAATTACTCCTGCTGTCTGCCCTGCTCTTTATAGACAGGAATAGATCATCTGCTCAGGGTGCATTAGGGCTGTGTTTTAAGGAGTCTAAGTGCTGTTGAAATATTACATTCTGTAGTTGTGAGTAAATATCAACCTATTTTTCCAAGGGCACAGGTTGAACCTGGCTGAGCAGAAGCTGTTTCGTTCAAAATTGCTGCCTGCTCTCATGGCAGGGGTATGGTCTCCTACAGTGGTAAGTGCTCCTCTGAGGAGGACCAGAGGTTGACTCAGAACACATTTCCTGTTACCTGACAACTTCCCTCAGAAGATCTTTTCTGGTGATCACACAACAGGTACCTGTAGCTTGTGTTTTTTCTTCTTCCCACTAAACATCCCACACTTACCCCTTGGAATTTGCCATCTCAGAGTAGGTGTCTGTGTTCTGCTTTAAAGGAGCTTTAAATGATTTCTTTTTTTCCCCTCCAGACATACCAGCAAGAATAGAAGAAAGGAAGGTGCACTTTGGGGCAGAGTGGGCAGGCAGAGGCCATTTTGCAGTTTATTACGTGCTTTGTGATTATAAAAGTACTGAAGTAGTAGTTTTCAGAAGTATTTAGGATAACTAAAACCTTGCACAGCAGACTTAGCTTTCTGCAGCATGCCAGAGGGAGGGGTTGAGCTCCTGCTTTTCTGTGGAGCAGGAGAGAAGAATTGGATGTAGGGAGCCAGCAGTTGGAGTTGTGGTGAATTGTAGTCAGTGAAGCACTGCATGAAATGTTGGGGTTCCTCTCCCTTGACTTCACTGCTTGTGACCAGGCTTAATGGGCAAGCAAGATAACACACAGAGGCAGACAGAACAATTGGGGATATTTTTCTCTGGACTCATAAATGTGCACACACAGAGACAGCACTGACAGTTCTCCAGAACTGCGTGTCAAGTGGTTGTGCTGGGAAGGCTGACCCGGGATGTGTGTGGCTTAAAAGCTTTCAAGATTAATTAGTGCAAGTTGAAGGGGAGAAATGTGAATACTGGCAAAGAAGCAGAAGCAGAGTGATAAACAGAAAAGCCTAATTTTCCCCTGTGTGTGGGAGATGGTAGCACCATAAACCAGCTTTTATCCTCTTTTCTATAAGGATTGAAGAGCTCTGTGTCTAATAATAGAATACATGGTTCCCATTACCAGTGACTTCATGAAATCCTACCTTGGAGTGAAACATGGCTTGTGTTCCTAATGGTGCTTTTATTGTCAAACTTGGGTTGGTTTTAGGCTGTTAATTGTAAAGGTATCCTTTAAATGTAACCCCTGCTCTGCCCGGGCAGTGTAACTGGAGATATGGAGATGAATTCCTTTTGCTCTGTGTTTTACACTTAGAATGGAATTTTTGTAGCATGTGTTCATTTGGAAAGGTTTCATTTTCTTGCATGGGGAACTAGTTGGATTTATAGATCTATTAAGCAAGGTGAGTTAGATATACACTATTCACAGGGATTTTTATATTCCTCAACTTGAAGTGACCCAGCGAGATTGAAAGCAGCATAAAACCTGGAGCTGACATCTCAATATTTGATCTGCTGTGATCATGCCCTGCTGACCTTTAGCTTTAATGGCACTATATAATTCTTGAAAGTTGCAAATGCACTCTACTGTGGGGCTGATGGATGATGAAATCCACTTTGCCTAATCACCTCTCCAGAATGTGTGTTGTTTCTAGTAGATACTGATCTCCTGTATTTGTTATCTTATATTTGAGGGAGCCTTTGGTTTCTGCCTTAATGTGGGGTTTATGCAGATAATACACTCAGCATCTTGATTAGGAGCTGCAGGACATGTGGTTCTTGAACAGGCAGGAGCTGCTCTTGTGGTGGAGTTCCCATAACCATGAATTTCAGATCGTACTGAGATTGCTGAATTGCCCCCGGTGACCTCAAACCTCCGCAGCTGAGGAGGAGTTAAAAGACAGCCCTCAGAACTCCAGTGGGCAGCTCCAAGAGCTGTTTATGAAGAGAAGTGCTGCCCTTGAGCTGAGATTTCCAGAACAGATGCATAAAACAGTATTTTTGAATGCAGAAGCTGTCAAACAGTCTCAGTACTTTGGGGACTGAAGCTTTAGTTCTCCCACCTCACACAGCAGGTGAGGCAGTGCTGTGCTGTTGTACAAGCTGCTTGTGACATTTAAGTGGTGAGCAATATTTATTACAGAGGAGAAGTAAACATTAGGAGCGTGTTTGCAAGGGCTGTAGAGACTTGTGATGCTCTAAGTGACTTAAACCTTTGGGGAGGGGTGGGTGAAAGGAATCACTTCTATTCTGAATTATTTCACCTTAAATGCCTTTTTCCCCTCCTCTTTTTTTTTCCTTTCTTATCAGATTTCCTTTATATCCAAAAGGAGGGGAGAAGCTTCAGTTTGAATATGGAGTTTATCTTCTCAACAAAAATATAGCACAGGTAGGTACACTTGAGGTGACTTTTTAAATTATTGTTTACTTACAACTATTCTTTGCTTAGTGTCAGTATGACCTGTGTGCATGCTGTTCTCTGTGGGGATCATCTGTGAACTAAGAGATATATCCTTGAAATCCTTGTCTTATCTTACAGCTTTGGGCTTGAGGTTTTATTGTGTAGTGCTTAGAGGAGGACTGGCCACGTGATAATTGATCTTTTCCTTTTCAAATTGTAATTTCTGTGAGTTTGTACACACTGCTTTGACAATAGTAAATGTTTTCTGCTTTTTTATTCTGTCATACTTGAAGATCCATCTGTGTCATTCTCACTGCTGTGTCTTTAATTTGCTGTATTATTACTTTAACCAGTATTCTACTCTTATAAGAAAACACCAGTGGAAAATCTTAAGTCTTCCACATGCATGACTTTATGCTTAGTTTAAAAAAAAACAGTGTCCTCTAATCAATCCTACTTCCTTGCTTGTAATGTACTTTTAAAATCATCACATAGTCACTTATTATAATAATCTGGTTTAAGTCTCTTCCTCTTTGCAAACTTTCATGCTCTGAAAGACCTCCTTCCATTTTTTAAAGTGTCCTCTCTCAGTTTCTGAGGGTTCTTCTGGTCCCCAGTTCTCCGTCTGGATCTCCACCTTTCCTGAAGTGCAGTGCCCACAGCTGGATACAGCTGGGCAAGCGTTGCTTTCAAAGCACTGAGGAGAGAACTGGGAGAAATGTAGCACAGGTCTTGTCCCTTTAGTTCCAGTTGATTGTGCTCCAGAAGGTTTGTACTTTTAACAGAGCCCAGCAGAGTGACTCTCACTCAGTGCAGCCCCAGGTACCTTCTGCACAGCAACGAAACAGCCCACTCAGAGTTTGGGCAGGTGACTTAGCCATGTTTTACATCTGCACCTTTTTGTTTCTCAGTCATGTTCCTGATCTGGTGATGTACAAAACTGGGCAGAGGTGGGTTGAGAACTCAGTCTCAGCTTTGTGCTGCTGCATCTCCAGCTCTCCTAAATCAAATATTGCTGGAGCTAGGGTTCTCTTTCCACCCAGGTGGAGCCTCCCTTCCCCTGCACTTCCAGTTACAGCCATTCCTTACTGCACCCAAAGAGTCCTTGCTCTGTACTCACTCCTGCTTCATGATTATCCCATTTCCCCAGCTTCCTTGTGAGCATATTGCACCAGAAAGTGCCAAGAGATTTAAATTCCAACAGAAATATGCCTTTTCTGTTTCTAACCCATTTGTAAGGCTTGAAATTAGATTAGTCTTACAGTTTTATTCTTGAAAAATCTGGCCTTTTTATGCTTAGTTTCTACTTGTTTGTTTTTCCAATTCTGTCTTCCACCACTTTTTCGCCATTCCTTACCCCAAATTGAAGTAAAGCTTCTGGATCTTTTTGTGTTGTTTGTTTTTTAAGCTTGGATTGCATTTACCATTTTCCAGACTTCTGGTGTCTTGCCCATGCTCAGTGTATTTTGGACGATAACCTCCAGTGGCTCTGAAATTACTTAAAGGCTAAAATATCTTAAGATGAAGTTAATCAAGCCCTGCTAATCTTGGAAATTCACTTAACCAGGCTGTTAGTGGAGCTTAGGCTGTGCCTCTTTGTTGGTGGTATTAGTAATAGCAGCCAGCTGTTCACACTTGACCTTCATGGGGAAGACTGGTGAGAAAAAGGGATTAAATACTCTTTGATAGCTCTCCCTCTCCATTACTATCAAATCAATGCTTTCCTTAATCTCTGCTTCCATAAACCCATTAGTTCACTCTGACCTGGGAATTGTGGAGTTTGCCATTCAGTCATGAGATGCAAACAAGAACCTCTGGGCTTCTTGTCTTCCTCAAGGAGCTGAACTCTTCACGCTCTGGTTGTTTGCAGTTGGTGTAGTCGGGGTTGGTGGGCTCTTGTGCCTGTTGCATTTTATAGGAACTGTCACCACTTCCCTTGTTTTCCTGTTTGTCTCTGACTTGTCCCTCTTGGACCCACTGAAACCTCCCATTCTGAGGCCTCTGAGCTGCTGAACACAGGGCCACTCACCCCTTTTGCCTTCCAGGTCCTGGCAGTTGGTTTCTGAAACCACTGGCAAGTGTTTGAACCCATAAAAGTAAATGAAGACTTTTAGTGCGTGTTTGTGTGGAAAAAGTTTCCAAATTTCCGTGGGGTCAGTGGTGCTGTGCAAACTGGAGCGGTGGTGGCCAGGCTTTGAAGTGGTTTGTGCAACACCAGTGGTTCACATGGTAATGTTTGGGATTGTCTGCTCTTGGATATAAAAACATAATAAAAGTAATTCGGGATTTCTAGGGGGGCTTCTCCTACTTATTTAATCAGGGAAGTGTTACTGATGTCCACATAAACTGTTGTAGTCACCTTTGTTTTGATATCCTTGGTCAAATATTGCTGCTTTTTGTAGTTCTGCCCAGGGGGAGTTCCACTGTGGAAGCAGAACAGGTAGATAACTGCAGGAAAACATCCCAACCCCTCTGTGCTCAGGGGCTGACTCAACCAGAAAACCTGAGACTGTGTGAATCCTTTGTATTCCTGGGGATGCTGCAACTCTGGAATTGAAGTAGCTGTTAGGAGACCTCAGGGCTGCTTTCAGAGAAGCTCCCACAGGTGCTTGGTTCATGTGGGTGTGTGAAAGTAATGAAGTTTGGATGGAGAATGAGCAGCTGCCTCTCTCTCTCATCTCCAGACCATCACAGCCTGAAAGAGGATGCTTTTAAGGCCCAAAGGTGTTGGCCTTAATTCAGAGAACCAGTCCTGAAATGACTCTTTGTAATGAATAAATGTGACTCCATTGCATGATTCCCTCTGTGTGCTGTGGGAAGGCTGGAGGTGCCTGAGAGGGACAGTGGTGACTTCACTGGAGAGTTAAGAGAAGAGCCTGCATCTCCATCACCTCACTTGAATCATTCCTGCAAGTCTTGATCACTGTGGGTGAGAGACAAAGAGCCCAGAAAAACTTTTATCAACTTCAAGAAATACTTGAAAGGGTTTGTATGAGCTCTCCCAGTTTCACAGATTTTTATACAGTGTTTTATTCCCTTTCACAATTAGCTGGAGTTCTGCTGGCAAAGGAGAAACGTGAGCGGAGCAGAAGTGAGACAGGGTTGATAGTGAGCAAAATTACTGACATAAAGACTCTTCTAGAGATAAAGTGGTACTGTTTTGTAAAACAGCAGGATAATAACAATGGAAACCACATCTTGCTCTCGAGGGGATTCAGCTGGAATTAGAAGCAGCTCAGTGCTAGCTTGGTAGAGCATTTATTTGGGGAAACTTGCTTTGCTGTTACATTCCGAAGTCAAAACAATGTGTGTTAATTCCGAGAGCTCATAATAACTTCCATCTGGACATGAGCACAAATTGTTTCAATCCCCATATTTTCTGTTTGTAAAATTGAATCCCTCACGAAGTGCACAGAGGAGCTTTTTAAGTTGGATAACGTTAGGTAAGACCATAAATTTCCAGTTAAGATTTCAGCTCTTTGACTCTTAACAAACAAATGCGGGGCTTTTATTCTTTTCACAGGGAAATTAGTGACTTATGTCTAATAATATCTACCGAAAAATTCACTGTCGTTGTCAAAGGTAAAGTACAAAACAGTTGCTATAAAGGGGAGTGAATTGCTCAGCTCTCCAAAGCATTGGGCAGTGGGAGAGCATTCAGCAGGTAGCAGGTCCCACAAACTCCACAGCTGGTAAATGAAGGATGTGTGGGGAGCATCTGAGGAAGATGAGGCTTTAGGAGGAGAAGGAAATGAACTCTCACCCTGATATTCACAGCAGAAAAACTGAGATGACACTGTGGAAACCTCCTGTTACAGTGGTTGAATATTAGGAGCTGCTGAAGCTTGGTGAGGTTTTCTGTGGGTGGTGAGTGAACACAGCAGGGGCAAGGCTAGCACCTCTCAGGGGTCTCATCCTGCTGGGCACAGCCATGGACCTTCTGAGTAAAGAATTTTTTCCTGGTATCTAACCTAAACCTGCCCTCTCTTAGTTTAGCACTGCTCCCCTTGTTGTCCCTGTCTGCCCTGTCCCTGTAAAAATTTCTGGCTGTGTTTGTCAGGGGGCTCTGCAGATGGTGGCACTCTGAGCATCACCTTCCCAGGCATCACTCCCAGGCTGAGTGAAGTCTTTGGGATTTGTTACAGTGCAGGAGTTAAGGTTGTCCTTCCTTCTGTTCAGGCTGGGTACGTGCTCAGGATCACCTCCCAGGGAAGGCTTCTCTCCTGATCCTGATTTGTTTTGTCAGACAGCTATTGAGGGCTGTCAGACCGGCACTGGCAGGGTTTGCTCAGCCCTGGCCAAGGAACAGTTGTGCTTTCATCTGACAGTCATTAGCAACACGTGAACTTTGCTATTGGACACACAGAAAACCCTCTCTCCTTTGTCAGCTCCCCAAGGATGTTTGTTTTCACATGAATACAAAGCAGATCCAAGGCAGTAACTGGTGTCCAGCCCTCCTCTGGTGTGTCCACATGGTGGCAGGAGGAATTCCGTGCTTGGTGTGACCTGCTGGAGATGATCAGCCAGTTCTGCCCTCCTGGGAGTGCTGCCTTGTGCTTCAGTTGCCTGTCTAATGCACGAGGTAAGGAACATGCACAGAAGAAAAGCGAAATACTCCTTCACATGTTTTAGGTGCAGCCAAACTGCCATCTTTCCAATCGCTGCATGGAATTAAAGCTGAGTGCTTGTTGGTAAAGTTGGTGCCATGTGTAAGAAACCCAGCTGAAACTCAGCTCTTAATCCTGACATGAGGCAAGATGTGCAGTTCCTGGCTCTGTTAGACTATCAAACATGTGAGAAAATCGACTTTATAATAGAAACTGTTAAACTTTTCCATGGGAAGTTGAACAGCAGAAATGTTAGGCCTAGAAATTTGTTTTGGCAATAAACACTAGGGAGCAGAAGTATCTTTAAGGGTGCTGTGGGTAGCAGTGTGGATGCAGTGGTTATGGCCCTGGGAGTGTAAGATGCTGTGATTTGCACACTAC